AAGGCCGTTGGGGGCGCGTGCACGGTGTGAGGGGGGGGCGGGAAGAAGGCCGCTCCTCCTCCTCACCCGCCGCGCGCTCCCGCCCCGGCAAGGGGCTCCCCTTCTGGGGGGCGCGTGCTCGCGCCTCGCTCCCGGACCCCATGCCCCCCCCGGCGAACGTCTGCCTGGGGCTACTACAACTCCCATAATCCGCAGCCAGCCTTGGCCTAATGGCCTGTCGGCGGCAGCGCGGCGCGCGGCCGGAGAGCGTTTGGGCGGGAGCTTGGGCTTTGTAGTCCTGTTTCCCACCCCTTCCCTTCCTGGGGGAGAGAGAAGAAGAAAAGGAACGCCTCCAAGCGCCGTTCCTTCTCCGTTTTTTCGTGCCCTCGTTCTTTTTCCCGCCTGGCTTTCCCATCCCCTCCCTTCCTGGGGGAGAGAGGGGGAAAAAAAAGGAACGCCTCCAAGCGCCGTTCCTCCTTCTCCGTTGTTTCGTGCCCTCGTTCTTTTTCCCGCCTGGGTGTGTCCATGGAGGGCGCTCGGAAGGAAACGGGCCCTTTTTCACGCCTCCCTGAAATCAAGCCTCCATTTTAAAATTCTGGTTTTTTAATTGGCGGCGAGACCATCGTGAGAAGAGTTCCTCCCACCTCAGCGGTCGAGGTTTTAGGTGGGAGGCCCTTTTTTCCCCCATTCGTCTTTAAATTATGGGTGTCTGAAGGGAAAGGGCCTGAGCCGTTTTCTGACTTTGAAAAAAACCTGTTTCTATTGCCAGATAGGGATTATTAAGTAACCCTTTTGTGGGCTGTGATGGGGACGAATTGGGTTCCTGAATTGAAGTTATACAGAGATTAATACTGTTAACGAGTATTCCCCCCCACCTAATTTCGAGGGGGAGGGTTTCATTTTGATCTCTCTAACAATATTAGGAGGACAAATGGCTTTGGGTTTGCGTTTAGATCAGCCATTCTCGACTAGGCCATATGGTCTCTTTCTCTCTCCCCCCCCCAAAGCACATTTGAGGGGGGGGGTCCTGTTCTGGAAACAAGTCTTCTTCACACACCACCTTATGAGGTTCCTGAAATGATTGCTACAAGTCCCGATTTGGCCTGTGTTTCTTTCCTACTGGCTTTATGGCCTTGATGGAGAATGGCTGCCCTAGAATGACAAATTAGCCCATGCCTTCTCTAAAGGGTAATCAGACAGTCGAGGTCAGTTCCCAAGCAGCAATTAAAACAGCTGGGGGTTATATAAAATGAAAGTTTATATCCTTTTTTTTAGTCTAAGAAAAAAGGAAGTGTAAATTTAAGCCTAGTTAGTTCAACTGTTTCTGTGCCATGCTTTTTCGCTCTGGGCGTCAGCATTATAATCCACTGTATTGTACCGGTAAAGTTCCCTGAGCCAGTACCCTACTCGGCCTTAGTAGTTTTAAACATGCCATGACGGCTCTTTGCTTTTGCAGACAGCAGGCTAGTGCTGCCATCTTTGCAGAGGTTGCCGCCATATTACATTGAACATGCTTGCTTGATACGTAGAGACGCACGCCTGTACGTCCACACCCACTGGCCTGTCTGCACAAAAGACTGGGTTTTTTCTTTCTTTTTGGAGATGCATTTTGATCCCAGTCCATGCAGAATTTATCATTTTCTAAGGCATTGTGAAATTTCCACTAATTGAGAATAACTGCCATCTTGAACTACTTCTGAATTAAATTTCATCTAATGGCCTGTTGATTGCAGTAGGAGAGTTAAACACGTGCCTTCTCTCTCACACACACGCACACACACTCAAGCAAATGGAACTTTCAAAGCAGTTCAGACATTTGAAGAATTGTGAATTGTTTTTGTGGCTGTATGGTTTGAAATATACAGTACCTGCATTGTTGAGTTAATGTCTTTGTGGGTATAAACCTGAAACAAACCTAAATGTGAATCTGATCAGTTTTGCCCAGTTTCCCTCAGAAACTGTAAAGATAAAGTAAAGATATCGTTGAAAACAATCTCTCTGATGTAAAATGGGACATTATATTGTATGCTCAAATGAAATTAAAGAAAAATGGCCAATAAGGGAACTGGAAATTGGCTTAAGAAAAGAAACTTGATTGCAGTACTGTTTATTTAGGGGAAAGTTTCCCCCACCTTATAATACGTGCAGAAATAATGTAAGCTGAACCAAAAAGGATTATTCCAACTTCAAACAAAGGTGCTACCCTTTCTTTGTATGGGGGAAGGCAGGAAGTCAAATAAGATAAGCAGGGGGAGCAGTAACGTTCTTGGAAATTGAAATATTTCAGATATCTGTTTATATCAGATTTGATACTGTGTGCCTTGTTTATATTCAATGTGTGTTACATAGTTGTCTAAACTACTTTACTGGATATTATGTAGAAAATGCCTGACATAATTTGGTAGTTATCATTTCCAAGCTGAATTTGATAGGCAAGGTCAGTATGGAAAGAAATGTAGAATATTTTAAAGTAAAAGGGTAACTATGTTTTGAGAACCTACTGAGGAGGAAAGAGGTGATAAATTTTGGAATAGAATAAGGAGAGGTGGAAGCTATTTAAAAGGACCTTCTTATGACCCCTTGGTGGTTTTAATTGTTGTTTTCCTAACTTTGCCCTGTGGAGGACTCTAGGCATACTTATCTCTTTGGATAGTTAATAAAGAGCAAGTTATTACATTCTAAAATATATATTCTGTTAATAGTGGGGGTTTTTTTGTATTCCACGTGAACTAGACTAGACCTATTCAGATGGTGTTGCCTAAGGAAAAACATAAGTGGAATAGTAGCAGACTTCAAGTGGACAAACTGGGGAAGAATTGAAATTAATCTGATCCTAATCTTGCTTGTATTAAAGTCAATTCTCAGTTGTGTTCGGAAAGGTTTACATTGAGATTGTGGTTTGCATAGATAACAAATAGGAACTGTGGTACAACACAGAAAACTTCTGTAGAACTTTACCCCTAAGGTTTCTTGGTTGAGAACTAGGCCTCAGTCTGTTTTCGCAGATTACTGCTAATGATTTTTATGTACAGTGGTGCCTCGCGTTACGACGTTAATTCGTTCCAGCGAAATCGCTGTAGAACAAAAACATTGTAAAGTGAAATTAAAAAGCCCATAGAAATGCATTAAAACCCAATTAATGTGTTCCTATGGGCTTGAAACTCACCATCCAGCGAAGATCCTCCATAGCGCGGCCATTTTCGCTGCCCGTGCAGCGAGGAATCCATCCCAGAAAACAGCGGGCGGCCATTTCTTTTACCTGGCGGCCCTTTTGAAAACGATGATCAGCTGTAGGAAAATCGTTGTTTTGTGAGAATCAGTTCCCGAAGCAGAGAACCGATCATCGCAAAGCAAAATTCCCCCATAGGAAACATCGTTTTGCAATCGCAAAAACTTCGTTGTTATGTGATTTCGTCGTAAAACGGAGTGCTCGTCTTGCGAGGCACCACTGTAATTTCTTGAGACCCTGAACTACCCAAAAGTTCTCAAGGGAGAATCAGGGTCAGGAATTGTCAGCTTTTACCTGAAGGTCAGGAATTGCCAACAAACTACAGGTACTCATTTGTTTAAAGAAAAGCATGGACAGATGGAATGGGCAAAAGCTTATGGGATTTTTTATTTTGTACGTGGTTTTGCAGCAGATCTTAACTTTGTTGCAACAGTGTACTAGTCCATTGAGTCCTATTACAATGAAGCCTCTTTAAATTTTGAACTTTGGTTGCATTTTAACAAACACTCATAGGGTCAAATTTATTTAGAAGGTTGAAGTATTGATCCAGACAAGGATCGAATGGCTTGAGTTGTTTTGGGGGTTTCCCCTCCATTGTGTATCTTTTATTGCAGTGTGGAAACTTGGGAACATATTTCAGAAAAAGTATTGGCAGCAACTATGAAATTATTCAAATTTATAATCTATATGTGGATATATGGCAAAATAAGTACAAGCCAAAGATTCTCAGAGTTGATGAAATCACGTGACATTGCCATAGTTTTGGTCAAAGACTTCATAATTCCGGTTGCTGCAAAGGCTTTTACACTGAGTACTGGTTGCTGTAACTACTCAGTCTACGTATTTATTTATTAAACTTATACCCTGCCCAGCTATTGGTGAGCCACTACTCAGGACAGCTACGCAAAATTAAACACAGGTAGAGAAACAAAATTTTAAAAAATAATCATGAGGAAAGAAACGAACAAGTCCCCATTATCAAACATCTGATTCACAGGATGGCAAATTAAACTGATTAAATACAAAACAATAGATATAGAGCCGCCACAGAGATACCAAGAAAATTAAATTAAAGAGTACAGTGGTGCCCCGCATAGCGAGGTTAATCCGTTCCGGATTAACCGTCGCTATGGGGAAACATCGCTATACGGAACGGAAAACGCCATAGAAACGCATTAAACTTAGTTTAATGCGTTCCTATTGCTCTGAAACTCACCTTTCTGCGAAGTTTCTCCATAGCGCCGCCATTTTCGCACCCTCGGTAAGCGAGGGCAGGGTGCGAAAATGGTGCGGGCGGCCATTTTCTGCACCCGGTGGCCATTTTGGAACCGCCGATCAGCTGTTCCCAAAATGGCCGCCGGGTGCAGAAATGATCACAATGCGATGTTTAGCCTATCTAAACATTGCAATGCGATCGCATTAGCGACCCCAAAAAGGGTTGCTATGCGGATTATTCGTTAAACGGTGCGCTCGTTAAGCGAGGCACCACTGTACTGGGGTTTTATATCAAACATTACGGATGGTATGAAGTTTGGCAGTGGGAGGAGTTGAGGCAACTATAGAATTTATGGTAATTTAGTTGTTGATATATAAGAATATACCTGATTTTTAAAAAACACCAGAAAGCACATTTTTCTGACTTCCTTTTGATAACTATTGAGCTTTTTGTCATCTTTAGCATATAATTGCCCTCCATCTCCTGATAAAAGGGAGTACAGTGGTGCCTTGCTTAACGGGCGCCCCGTTTAATGATGAATCCGCATAGCGATGAAGATTTTGCGATCGCATTGCGATGTTCCCTATGGGGAAAAATTGCTTTACGATAATCGTGGGGAAGCGATCATTGCAGACGCCCAATTTTTGCCCAGCTGATTGGCGGGGCTTCGGGATGATGGGGGAAAGCCCTTCCCCATATCTTCCTGAAGCCCCGCTGATCAGCTAGGCGAAAATGCGGGCTTCGGGGGGGGGAAAGCGCTTCCCCGCGATCATCCCAAAGCCCTGCCGATCAGGTCAGCAAAAACGGGGCGTTTACAATGATCGCACGGAAGTGATCATCGCAAACGCCCCATTTTCACACAGCTGATCGGCAGTTCCAAAATGGCCACCAGAAAAATAAAATGGCGACCGCTGTTTTGCCTTGCTTTAGAGGGACCGAAAATGGCCGCCCCTATGGAGGATCTTCGCATAAGGTCAGTTTTTAAGCCCATAGGAACACATTAAACACGTTTTAATGCGTTTCTATGGGCTTTTAAAATCGCTTAATGACGAAATCCCTTAACGACGTTTTTCCTAGAACGGATTAACGTCGCTAAGCGAGGCACCACTGTACAAATTATTACATGGGTGGTTAATAGAAATAAGGCAATAGAATTATAACAGATTCTGAACTTACATTTTGAGCTGTTTGAATATTTTTTGCTATGTGTTATGTTTGATATTCTTTTTTTCTTTACCACCTGCAGATTATAGTACCTACACTCAAGCTGCAGCCCAGCAGGGGTAAGTTTCTCTGAAGATAATAGACTATTCTGCAAAGTTGGTTTATAATTTCTATGGTGTATTGTCTGCTTGAGGAACGTGGTAGATTTTTAACAATGGAACATATTGCACTGAAGAATTTAATTTCTTCTCAAAGCTATTGCATTTTAAACCTTGAAATTTCTTGTATTTTTTTTCTGCAGCTACGCTGCTTATGCAGCTCAGCCAACTCAAGGATATGCACAGACCACCCAGGTAAAATGTAACTGTAAAACACTTTCACAGTGAAAGGAAAAGAAACTGTGTCACTTCGAAGAAAACTTGTGAAATGTGTACTGTGTCTGCTCCCAAAAACTAACATGTGGTATTGATTTTTAAAACACTTGGGTAAATGCATTTACATTGCCACAGGTATATTATTCAGGAAACTCCATTATTTAGTCATGATGTTGCTGTCTGCCCTTGGGCAAGGCACACAAAACTGCCTATTCATTCCTGTTCCTGTCCTGTTCAAGCTGCTGCAGCTCTTTTCTGCCTAGCTGTCTATGACAGACTATAGACCTTGTGGAACGGAGCATATGCAGGCCAAAAGTAAGGTGGGGAGACAAAATGGGAACTGTTTTGTTACTTAAACTTCATGTAAGATTTTCCCTTTTGCAGTCAGTGAATGTTTTAAGATGCTGTATAAGATTAGAGAGTGATAATTTGTACAAGTACTGTTAAAAAAGTTTTTATTTTTAATACCATAAATTGAGTATTTTTAGCGCATCCCTGGGAAACATTAAAACTTTTGTTGCAGATAGTAAAGTACAATGGATGTGGATAGAATAGTAAGGTCAGCTGCCATGGTACTATGCCATGGAACCATGGCACATTGCTACTATAACGATTGCTAGAAAAGGTGTTAGGAGCCTTAACACAGAAATGAGATCTATTTATTTTTTTTAAAAAAATTAAATCATTTTTAAAATTTTGATATTTTACAATTTAAATTGTCTTTTAAATCATATCCCTCCTGGACCTATAATGTTACCATTTTAAAAAAGAAAGAAAGAAAAGAAAGCTGTGTGCTTCAGGCAAGCATTCTGTATATGGTTTTTGTTAGTTGTCACAGAATACTTAGGTTTTCCTATGTTGTCTGCTAGAATGTTGGTCTGTATTAAACATGAATGACAGACTAAAAAGATTTGGATTCATGCAGTGACCAAGAATAGGTGTTGGTTTTTGATAACCTGATGTATACTTCTTTCTGCTTTTCCTTATACCCCTGTGGTTTTGTATTCTCATGGGCGCCCCGTTTAACGACGAATCCGCATAGCGATGAAGATTTTTAAAAAGTGCGATGTTTTAAATGGGAAAAAATCGCTTTGCGATGATCGGTTAACTGTTTCGCTTACCGATTATTGCATAGCGATGATTTCCCAACAGCTGATCAGTGGTTCCAAAATGGCCGCCCGCTGTTTTCGCGCCAATTCCTCGCTTACCGGGCAGCAAAAATTGCTGCCGTATGCAGGATCTTCACTTTAAGGTGAGTTTTAAGCCCATAGGAACGCATTAAACGGGTTTTAATGCATTCCTATGGGCTTTTTATTTTTGCAAAGCGACGAAATCGCTTTGCAGCAATTTTTGCTGCACGGATTATCGTCGCTGTGCGGGGTACCACTGTATTTTGATCTGCCTGCCAAGGAAATTGTTTGCAGTGAGATTTCACTGTTCTTCCTCTGTTATATATGACTATAGACTTCTTGATGAAAGTACCGGTATCTTAAAATCTGTTGTGTGGAATGCAGAGTTAAAAGGACGCCTTTCCTTCTTTGTAGCAGGCCTACGGGCAGCAAAGCTATGGAACCTACGGGCAGCCCACTGATGTCAACTATACTCAAGCTCAGACGACTGCTACTTACGGGCAAACTGCATATGCAAGTTCCTATGGGCAGCCGCCCACTGGTAAGTGTTCCTGTGTTCCTTTTACCCTGGAGGCTGTAAATAATGTGAGAGAGGAAATTTAAGCCATTGGTGAAATTTCACTAGAATGGGTACTGGACTGAATCGCACAGAGGCTAAAGCATTGTTGCTTATTGCTTTTAAGTTAGTGATATGTCAGTGTTCCTGGGGTACAGCACTTCTTTAATCTTCCTATTGCTTGAGGATGAGTCCTTCAAAACTGCTTGCCTATTCTGATGGTACGCTCTCTACTTCTTGTCTTTTGCTTTCCACAGTAGAAGGGACCAGCACAGGTTTGAATATCCTGCTCAATTTTGCATGAGAAATGCTATCCATTTGTCTAAACCTATGGTGTTAACCCTTTGGGAGTTCTTGTATTCTAGCAGTAAACTTTACACTCTACTTAGCCAGGGTCATTCAGTGTTTGCTATGCAGAAGTTTCAAGTCTGTGTAAGGAGAGCTGTTTATGAGTGCTTTCTGGCTACTCTGTTGTATGGCTAAAATTTGTGTATTGAAATGACAACTAAGGGTGAAGTCAAGTCAACTTGACTGTAATTTCTGTTCCTGAAGGGTGAACAGCATGATTAGACATACTGAGCTATAGCCATCTGTGCATGTTCCATGTTAGGCATCAGTTTCCATGTATCATAAACACTACATTCTTTTGCTTGTGTTGTTAAAACTAGCATTCTGTTCCTCGTAATTATTTCAGTGTCTCAAATTGACAATCTGAAGGAACCATCAGAGCCCATTGCTACATTGTCTTAATTCAAGGTGCATGAAAAAAACACTGTTGAAAGCATCTCAACAGTTACTTTAGGATGTGTGTCTCTTATGCTCAGGAGAAATACCACTATGTAGCAGATTAGAGTTTAAACAACAGTGGTGAGGCAACTGAAGAGAGTAGGGGAAAACCACTGGGCTAGTCAGGTATAATCTAAACCAAATCCCTTATGAATACACAGTGGAAATGGAGAACAAATTTATGTAACTAGATTTGGTGGACAGAGTGCCTGAAGAACTATGGATGGAGGCCCGTAACATTGTACAGGAGACAGAAACAAAAAACATCCCAAAGAAAAGGAAATGCAAGAAAGCAAAGTGGCTGTCCAACGAGGTCTTATAAATAGCAGAGAAGATAAGGGAAACAAAATGCAAGGGAGATAGGGAAAGTTACAGAAAACTGAATGCAGACTTCCAAACAATAGCAAGGAGAGACAAGAGGGCCTTCTTAAATGAATAGTGCAAAGAAATAGAGGAAAATAATAGAAAGGGGGAAACCAGAGATCTGTTCAGGAAAATCAGAGATAGTAAAGGAACATTTTGTGCAAAGATGGACATGATAAAGGACAAAAATGGGAAGGACCCAGCAGAAGCAGAAGAGATCAAGAAGAGGTTGCAAGAATACACAGAGGAGTTATACCAGAAAGATCTGAATGCCCCCGACAACCCAGATAATGTGGCTGCTGACATTGAGCCAGACATCCTGGAGAGTGACGTGGGCCTTAGAAAGCCTGGCTAACAACAAGGCCAGTGGAGGTGATGGCGTTCCAGTGAAACTATTTAAAATCTTAAAAGCTGACACTGTTAAGGTGCTACACTCAATGTGCCAGCAAGTTTGGAAAACTCAGCCGTGGCCTGAGGACTGGAAAAGATCAGTCTACATCCCAATCCCAAAGAAGGGCAGTGCCAAAGAATGCTCCAACTACCATACAGTTGCACTCATTTCACATGCTACCAAGGTTATGCTCAAAATCCTACAAGGTAGGCTTCAGCAGTATGTGGACCGAGAACTCCCAGAAGTGCAAGCTGGATTCCGTAGGGGAACTCGAGATGAAATTGCTAACATGCGCCGGATTATGGAGAAAGTCATAGAGTTCCAGAAAAACATCTACTTCAAAAGCCTTTGACTTTGTGGACCACAGCAAACTATGGCAAGTCCTTAAAGAAATGGGAATGCCTGACCACCTTATCTATTTCAAAGCGTGCTGCTTGCTGCTGAGAAACCTATACGTGGGATAGGAAGCAACAATTAGAACTGCATATGGAACAACTGATTGGTTCAAAATTGGGAAAGGAATACGACAAGGCTGTATATTGTCCCCTCTTATTTAACTTACATGCAGAATACATCATGCAAAAGGCTGGACTGGAGGAATCCCAAACCAGAATTAAGATTGCTGGAAGAAATATCAACAGCCTTAGATATGCAGATGATACCACTCTGATGGCAGAAAGTGAGGAGGAATTAAAGAACCTCTTAATGAGGGTGAAAGAGGAGAGTGCAAAAAACAGTCTGAAGCTCAACATCAAAAAAACTAAGATCATGGCCACTGGTCCCATCACCTCCTGGCAGAGAAGGGGAAGATATGGAGGCAGTGACAGATTTTACTTTCTTGGGCTCCATGATCACTGCAGATGGTGACAACAGCCACAAAATTAAAAGACTCCTGCTTCTTGGGAGGAAAGCGATGACAAACCTTGACAGCAAAAAGTAGAAACGTAGTAAAAAGTAGAAACGTCACCTTGCCGACAAAGGTCCATATAGTCAAAGCTATGATTTTCCCAGTAGCGATGTGTGCAAGTGAGAGCTGGACTATATAGAAAGCTGACCGCCGAAGAATGGATGCTTTTGAACTGTGGTGCTGGAGGACACTGTTGAGAATCCTCTGGACTGCAAGGAGAACAAACCTATCCATTTTGAAGGAAATCAACCCTGAGTTGCTCACTGGAAGGACAGATCCTGAAGCTGAGGCTCCAGTACTTTGGCCATCTCATGAGAAAAGAAGACTCCCCAGAAAAGACCCTGATGTTGGGAAAGTGTGAAGGCAAGAGGAGAAGGGGACGACAGAGGATGAGATGGTTGGGCAGGGTCACTGAAGCAACCGACATGAATTTGACCTAACTCCGGGAGGCAGTGGAAGACAGGAGGGCCTGTTATGTTCTGGTCCATGGGGCCTAGAGCTAGAGGTGTTTTTACCTAGCAAACCTCTTTGTCTCTAAAGACAATATATCTTTCTGGCTGTCCAGTTAAATGATTTTTTCCCCCTTTTTTGCTGCCCCCTAGTATGTTTTAGATACCTTATTGACAAGGCAAACCTTGAATCCTCTTATGGGGAGAAAGGCAGTTTATAAATGAGACTAAATAAATAAAAATAAGGCAAGTTGTTGAATCCTTTGATAGAACTGAGCCTATGATATTGTATGAGTCTCATATTTTTAATGCCCTCTCTCAAGTTCCCTCTATAGAAAAATAATCATATGCCATCAAGTCAGTTCTCACTTAGGGCAACCCTTTTAAGGGTTTTCCAGCTAGCGAATACTCAGAAGCAGCTTACCTTTTCTTTCTTCTGGGATGCCCTGAGGCTGCACATTTTGCCCAAGGCTGGCTCTTCTGGGATGCACAGTGAGACATTGAACTCCCAACATCTGAATCCACAGCCAGAGACCTAACTCACTGAGCTGTCAAGCCACCTGTCAGGAATTGGGTTATGCTAGACCATCTGCAATTCGATGTTTTTAAAATACGTTTTTAGTTTACCTAGTGGACTTGTTTAATTTGATGTGATGCACCCAAATCTCTAGCATTTCATTTTGCTTATTATCTGGAATGACATAGCTTGACATTTTATAATAGAATTTGAACAGTAGCTGGTGAGAAATTTGAGAAGATGCTGTTTTCCATTCCACAAATGAGGACATAGAATCATAGAAAAGTGACGTTGGGAGGGGCCTTAACAAGGCTGTCAAGTCCAATCCCCTGCTCAGTGCAGGAATACATGTCGTAGCTAACAGATAAAACCTTGTCCATTCTGCCTGTTTCTCCTGTAGAGTGTGAAGGCACTTGTTGCGCCACAGTATGTGGAAATAATTTTGCAGAAGTATGTGTTGCATGGATGTGCGTTGTAAAAATAGTTCCTTCTGGTGCGCTAGCTGAAATGGATTTTATACCCATATTTCTAGCAAGAGCGTACTCCTGCCCTTGCCTTGGCAAACATGAACTCTTTTATTTTCGTAATCTCTTGATTTTGTGGAGAATGTTCCATTAGAGGCCTTAATGTGTATATTTGAACAGTCAAAAATAAGCCGGAAGATGGGGAAGCGAGCTGCTCCTTAAGATTTCCTCTCTCTTTTTTTGCAGGTTACACTGCCCCGGCTGCTGCCCAGGCTTATAGCCAGCCTGCCCAGGGATATGGCACTGCTGCTTATGATACAACCACAGCTACAGTTACAACCACACAGGCTTCTTATGCAGCCCCGTCTGCTTATGGCACTCAGCCTTCCTATGCTTCCTATGGGCAGCAGCCAGCAGCAGCTGCACCTACAAGGTAATATTCAAGCAGAGAACGGTAGATTTACGATCAGAGCAAAATGATAACATGCTCTTTGTTCTGAGAAAGTATTTTGAGTATAACTCTGAGGCTACTCTTCCTCTTCTTGATCCTTTTCTGTGCTGTTCTGATGACTCTTGATTTGCAGGTAATTTTCCATATATGTAGGTTTTGTGAGTAATCCATCTTTCTCTCTTCTCCAACTGTTCTTCTCCGGTAATACATTTGTGGCTGAAATTCTGTTGCTTAGCATAGTAGGTGACAGCTGAAATAGTCCCATTGGCTCAATGGGAGTTGCAGAGGAGTGATCTTCACTGATTCAGTGGGCCTACTCTAGCTGTGACTTACACTAAACAACAGAATTTCAGCCACAAATGAGTCTAATCCTGAGAGCATGAAACATTACTGAATTATTTTCTGGGTAAAATTATATCTAGAAGCTGTACATGTCATTGCCATGTCCCACCTTAAAAGGGGTTTGTATGAAATGTAGCTTCATTGTTGGATTTCATTTTTAGACCCCAAGATGGCAGCAAACCTGCTGAGACTAGCCAGACTCAGTCGAGTACAACAGGCTACAGCCAGCCTAGTCTAGGTTATGGGCAGAGTAACTACAGCTATCAAGTCCCTGGAAGTTACCCCATGCAGCCAGTTACTGCACCTCCATCCTATCCGCCCACCAGGTGAGTTTTCTGGAAGCCTTAATAGAAAAGTATTAAAAACAAATTTGCATAATCCTATTATAAATTTAGGCCAGTGAGTAAAGAAGTTGGTGTAAATTTCAACAGTAAATTGCAAAAAGTTACAAAATTGGTGCAGACATTTCCACTTGTCTACTGAGTTGTGAGACTTGGTGCACAAGAGGCAAAGCCTCTGCTGACTTCTTAATTTAGGGCAATCTGCCACTGGGATTTATGCTAAATGAGTAGCACCAGGGGACGACTAATAGACTAATACGATTCTGGTCAGTGTTTCTATTGTGATGCGTCAGTCAAAGCAAAACGACTGCCAGACCTTTATTTATCTTCCATGTGGCATGTGGAGCCAAGGTTCTTGGTAAGTCCATTGCATTGACATGGAGAGTGACCACCTGAGAGACCTTTTCTTCTCTGGATGGCATTGTGGTAGTGGAAGACCTTCAGAAAACTCCTTCCTAGTCCTAGCAGACTTAAAAGCATGTAGGACCGTTCAAAGAAGTGATTTTCTTATGCCATCTGCTTTGTTGTAGTGCCCTTTGCTGTGGCATATTATTAACAGATGGCCTAATTCTGAGAGCTTGTGTACTGTTGAATTATGTCAACCACATTCTCTTGTTCCCAGGCTTATTTTAAAAAAACCTGAGCAGTAAATAGTGTCGATACAGTTAATGTTGAAAATGGCCTCCAGGAGATTAAAACATCAGTGAAAACTGTAGCAGCCTCATAGAAGCAATTACAGTAGCTGCAGACTGGCAAGGATCGGATTCATGCAGTTGCCAGTCCGATAAGAATATAATCACAACAGCTTTCTGATACGCAAATACTCTGAGAAAGATCTAGAGGTTTGCTTTTCTGTCTTGGCTCAATTCATCAATGGTGGTCAGTGGAATATCCGGTCTAGCTCAGAGTGGGAAGGCCAAGCTGTGCTGTTTTTTTATTTGTTTGTGTGTCATTCTGGCTTTGCAGGTGTGAACCCTATCCTAAGACTTGCTTTCTTTCCTTTTGACACACTTTCCTCCCCTAGTTACTCCTCTTCGCAGCCAAGCAGCTACGACCAGAGCACTTACTCTCAGCAGAGTAGCTACGGACAGCAAGGCAGCTACGGACAAGGAGGTGGCTATGGGCAGCAAAGCAGCTACGGGCAGCAGCCTCCCACCAGCTACCCACCTCCCACTGGATCCTACAGCCAGACTCCAAGCCAGTACAGCCAGCAGGGCAGCAGCTATGGGCAACCGAGTGAGTGTCCACAAAAAGATGCTAAGATTAAAATATCTTCAGCCAAAGATTAGTGTTGCCTGTGAAGGGAGATATTCTGCTTTGAGGGGAAAAGCTTTCGTATCTATCAAGTTGACTCTTATTTCTGGCAGTCTGTACTTGATTTTTACGTTCCCCCCCCCCCAGCTTTTCACTTTCTGTATTTACAGTCTGTTTTCAGTTACCCAATTAGTTGACATGTAGTTTTAGTTTAAATATGCATAATAATAGAAAACACGTGCCTCTTGTGTTCTCTTGTTTGAACTTAAGCCATCATTGTGACAAGGGGATATTGTGCCACTGGATTGGTAGGGATTGGACTGTGGCCCAGCAGAGTACCCCCTTTGCAAAGTCAGTTGAAGCAGGCTCTAGCCTGCCTTTCACCCAGCGCTTTGAATGTTTAGTGGGTGTTTAAATTACTGCTGCCATCTCTTATTGAAAGCTACTGTGTGTTTACATCCTAGAATCACAAGACAAGGGTAGAGGTTGGAAGAAAATGGGTAACTTTTAAGCCATTTTGTACCTTCCCTGAAATTGCAGTAATAATACTCCTTAGGTTCATTCCGTCAAGACCATCCCAGCAGCATGGGTGTGTATGGCCAGGACTCTGGAGGCTTTTCAGGCCCAGGAGAAAGCCGGAACTTGAGTGGCCCTGATAACCGGGGCAGGGGAAGAGGCGGGGGATTTGATCGTGGAGGCGTGAGCAGAGGTGGGCGGGGAGGAGGAGGAGGAGGCCGCGGCGGAATGGGGTAAGAGCAAACCTTTTATTCCTCTCATCTAATGTGATTTTGCCCCATAGGGTGTACAAATGGAAAGAAGGGCTGAAAGGGCTGCACCCCACTTTTCCATGGATATTATTTGGCCCACAGCAGGTCCATGTTCTAAGCAGTGATCCATGGAAATATCTTGATAGAGGGGCTAGGGGCAGGATGCATTTTGCCTGCGGCTGGTTGGAGAAGGAGGGGTCTTGGGGGTTAAAATGGCAAAACTTTCAGCTCCCTTCCACGGTTAACAGAGGGGAATCCTCTGGATTTACAGTCTTTGGGTTGAACACACACACACATCCCTTGCAAGCAGTCCACATGCCTTTCTTTCGTCCTTGCTGGTGTCAGACATTGCAGGTATGTACCGTGATCTCTGCTCTTTTTGCAAAGCACTTCCTTACCCTAGCTCTGCTTGCTCTAGGCCAGGGGTCTCCAAACTTTTCAGCATGAGGGCCACATCATATATGTTCCACATTTTCAAGGGCCGAAGAAACATGCATGCATGCACGGGCTGAAGGGAACGGACCTGAGGCCTGCCTGAGCCTGCGACATTCGCTGGGCCAGATAAACCTGCCTGAGCCTGGGCCAGATAAAAAGGCAAGGCGGGCTGGATGTGGCCCACGGGCTGTGGTTTGGAGACCCCTGCTCTAGGCAGTTGCTCTCTGAGCTACTCTCAGAGCTGAACGGGTGGTGTCTGTACTCTTCCAAGTCCACAGCTCTACAACTGTAGCCGTTGCAGGCATGCAGGTTGGTCTAGAGCCTGAAGACATTCCGCCCTCACAGATGTGGGCGCTGCTCCCCACGGGAGCTCTCGGGTGCCCCAGTTCAGTTTGCCATTTGGAGTGATGGCACAATCTGATTTGGCAAGCCTTGTTTGGTCCCTGTTTTCCATGACTGTTTTGTTTAAGGTAATGACAGACGGTGGTCAACTGAGATTTTGTAATAAAGGGTGCTGTTGTGTGTGTTCCATCCATGTATGCTAAACTATGCAGAGTGTTTAGGGGTTTTATTTTTATATAGATATATATTTTATTATATTATACGTTATATTAAATTTAAATATTTTTGTGTATATATAAAAAATAAAGAGGTTAGAATAAAGAACAGGGAGGGTTGGAGGGTGAAAGTTGCAGTTGTTAATACTGGTACTTCCAGACCCATTGTATCTGATTTGGCTAGCAAAAAAGTCACTCTGCATAGTTAAAAAAAGTATCCTGGTGATTTGAAATCTTTGACATCAACTGCTTTTATTTCTTCAAAATGTGTTCCATTAACGACCAAGCTTTTTAACATATTAAAGCATATAACCCATTCAGATTGGCTTGAATGGAAAAGGGCTCCTTAGTTCTGTAAGATTTCATTTATTAGGTTTTCCTAGATGTGTTTAAAGTAAAAATAGACACTTGAAATGACGATCACCACATCTTTTTTTTTTTTATTTTAAAAATGCCTACAACCCAAACCTGCGATTGAACTTTTTTTTTTAATTCAGGGCACTCAGGTTTGAACTGCTGTGCTTAAATTGAAAATTGCTGTGGGACATGTAATTTTGCTGCTGGCAGTAAAATCTGCATCACTGGGTTGGCTTCTTCAAAGGATTAGATATAGGTCACCAAAGGGTTGGTGGGAATAGGGAAGATATGCCTTTTTGCTATGGTGTGGTGATGCGTTTCAGTGTCTCTCCTGCAGGTAAGGAGCCCAATGTTCTTAAAATGCCCTTTTTCATTGCCTCAATATTTTTATATTTTCACTGGCTGTTAAACATGGAAACTTTTTAACATGCTTTGTCGCATTTATATGCTACAGGTTACAAAGTGAGAGCCTTGTATACACTTCAATACTTAAAAAGTACCCGTACTCAGTACTCAGCCGGCAGCATATTGAAAAGTGGGACTAGACACGGTGTCCATATGGAGAGGAAAAAATATACATAGAATATTTTTAACCAAATGTGTTCAATTGTATAAATGGAAACCTTCTGTAACTTTGGTAACTGCATATAGTACTTCATGTTTGGTAATGAAACTAGAGGGGAGGTGTAAATAACTTTAGAATTGTGTAACATTAAAAGTGTAAACATCTGTTTAAAAAAGGATACATTACAATATATGGTTATATTTAGTTTGGGGTTAATAGAAGCAAAGCTGCATGCAACAGCTTGGAATTGTTTATAGTAAATCTTTTACGGGTTAAAGATGCAATACTTGCTAACAGGCAGTGGTTCTTCTCTCTCCTTACTTCTATCCAAACAATTTTTCCATCATGCACCCCCAAATTCATTTTTAGTGACTATTATTTGGGCACATTTTTGCCCACAAGTTATATTTCTGGCTTCGCCCTCCATTGAAATAGATACTGGTTTTCTTATTGGTTCCATCTGTTGTGTCCACAAAGCTGCACCCTTAGACCTTAGAATTGGGTATATTCTGTAAGCTCTCCTTCCACAGAGAATGTTAAATCCAGTAGTGACCTGAATGTATGGTTTCTAGTGATTGTCAACTGATCTGTGTTCTAGGGTTTGCTGTCTTTTTATTTTATTATTTTTTCCTGTTTTTTTATTATTATTTTTGAATTGTTAATGTTAAAGGTTCTCCATGCAAGAGCTTGACTTGGTCTCCCACTGGGGAAGGGATGAGGGTGCAACTTTATGTACGCAAAAGGAGGAGGGAGTTGACACGTAGGCTATTTTCGCGTGTATAGTTTTACAATATATAGAGATACGGAAAATTCCACTTATTTCTTGTCGCTAAGTATTGCATGTTTAACGCCATGGGTGATGAAAGGGTCCGACTGCCAAAGCGCCAAGGTGTCCAAACCCAGGCGAGCAAAGGTTACGTGTGTAAAGGAAATAAGAACACGCTGCCCTGAAGAAAAGGCCTAGTGACGAGATGAGAGAGAGAAAGAGAAAGACAGACAGATGCATTGTTTGGATATGTTTAGCCAGTGCCCTTCTTCCCTGTGAGCCCCAGAGGCTCCGAGCGGTACTGGCTTTTTAAAGGGAAAGGCCTTCATTTCTTCGTTTATCCCCCCAGCAGCGCTGGAGAGCGAGGTGGCTTCAATAAGCCTGGTGGTAAGTTTTTGAGCATTACAATGGGATAGTGTTTAAAAAAAATGCAGCCAGAAAATTTAAAAAAAATGATTAGTTTCCTAAGCGGCTAAGATGCCATATGCAACAAGTCTTTTAATGGGTACTGCCGGCAATGTCTAGGGGTTTATAACGGTTTAACCTATGGTGACAGAACAAAGGGTAAAACAAAAGGGTGATGCAATATTGAGAGAAATTACTTCTGTAATTTGGGGAAGGAATCACTTTTAAGAGGCTTTGGATTTCTTTTAAAAAAAATAAGTAACATTGGTAAACAAGCGCTGATTGGCCCAAGAAAGCCCCTTTAAAAACCAAGCGTAAATATCAAGTGGTGGTTTAGACGGCTGCTAAAATAGCCAGCTGATCCCAGCAGTGAATGTCTTAAAGGGTGTGCATTGCAAGTCTCTTTTGCAGTGCGGTCAGTTGGAGTTTTTGACCCACGCCATCACACGGTGGTTGTAAATAGGTAGTTGTGTGTTTGTCAGCCGCGTAGCTTGCAAGGCGTGCACTAACAATACCTTCTGTGGTTTCTTTTCCCTGGACGGCAGGACACATGGATGAAGGGCCAGACCTTGACTTAGGTAACTCAACATCATTATTAAAATGCCTGGTAGGGACTCCTCCATCATTCGTTCCCTAGCATCTGTCTTTCCAATCTGCTCACCTGAGATTAAAAGGCAGGGGGTGGGGGCTTGTTGCTTGTTTTAATGCTGGGGGTTGACAATACAATGACACAATGGGGCCTAAAGTTGGTTGGTCAGCCCCTTCTACTGTCTTGCTAGACAAAGTAGTTGCCTTGAATAAAGTGCCTCTTTATTCAAGCTAGCCTTTGCTTTCGTTGGTTTCTTTTTAAAGTCTCTGTTCCTAAAATGTCCCTTTTGCTGGCTGAAGTTAAGCTCAGTGTCATCCTTTGAAGCCAAGTTCCCTCAAGCATTGGCTGGTCTTTGTCTTGGGCTGACCTGGCTTGGCAGCCATCTGCTCTGTGTGGGACCCCCTGTTGCATATAGATCAAAGAAGCCATTCTGCTAGCAACCCAGCTGTTTGCAGCTGGCTGGGATCTCTTCCATAGAAGGTACTCTTATGAGAAGGTGGGAGGTAGACCTTTTGGAGGGGTGAGCTAACACTTCCATCCAGCAGCTAGGATGCCTTTCTTGTGATCATCCAGTCAATAATGATGATGGGTTAATTGTCTCCGCAGGCCCACCTTTAGACCTAGATGATGATGTTGATAACAGTTCAGTATACGTTCAAGGGTTAACTGACAACGTGACCTTAGAGGAGCTGACGGATTTCTTCAAACAGTGTGGTGTCGTTAAGGTGTGTAACGTGATCTGCACGCTTCAAGAGTCAACCTTAATTGCTACATGGTAGTAGAACTGGCTGGAACAAATCCAGAGTCCCTGTGCATTTTGGCTTGCTCCCCCCTCCCCCCCGGTATATCTTTCATTGTTCTCAGAATGTTGGAGAAAGTAGCCAGGGCCTTCAAAAAAGAAACAATTTAAAACGTTATTGAAATTCAGTGTTGATTGCAAGCATAAAACCCTTTTTTGTAGTCCCTTTGCTGAAGCCTCCTAGTGAATGCAACCTGAGGAAAGGGCTTCAGTTTGGCATTGAATGCATGCCAGGGCTATAGATCTGTACTTTGATCTCTGCCTAGATGAACAAAAGAACTGGACAGCCCATGATAACAATCTACCTGGACAAGGACACAGGAAAACCCAAAGGGGACGCTACTGTGTGCTATGATGACCCGCCAACTGCTAAAGCCGCAGTAGAATGGCTTGATGGTGAGTGAATTAAAACACCAAGCTGATGGAGGTACTTAAGAAGCCAAAGGTTAGAGGTTTAGTATCTAATGTAGGTTAGCGTATACGTAGTTAAGGCAATAAACAGTGGGGCTTGTGCAACAAGCTTAGGTACAGATGATGTAACCTGAGGGTTGTGGGCCATGATTTCCACAGAAACATGGCCTGATGGATGCTGAGTTCAGTGTTGTGGGAGAAAGTACAACCTCTGTTGTGAAAAGAGATGTGGGGATGGATGGATGGATGATGATGCTTCTTGATGTCACCATACCTCTAGCAGTGGAACTTTTCAGCACAGAAGCCTTCAATTTATGTCTTTCAGGTAAAGACTTCCAGGGCAGCAAACTCAAAGTCTCTCTTCCTCGGAAGAAGCTGCCATTGAACAGCATGCGAGGTGGAATGCCCCCACGTGAGCCACGTGGGATGCCTCCCCCTCTCCGTGGAGGTAACCTTCGTAGATTGCAAGACACCCCCTTTCTTTAAAGCAGGATAAAGTTGCCTGTGTGCTTTGCACCTAAGAATCTGTGTTGCCATGTCGGCGGGCTAAATAAAGCTTGTCCTTTCAGGCCCTGGAGGCCCCGGGGGGCCAGGCGGTCCTGGTGGCCCAATGGGCCGAATGGGAGGCCGAGGTGGTGACAGGGGTGGCGGCGGCTTTGCCCCAAGAGGACCGCGGGGGTCCCGAGGAAACCCTTCCGGTGGAGGAAACGTCCAGCACAGAGCAGGAGACTGGCAGTGCCCCAACCCGTAAGTCACTCTGCTTTATCTCCCCCCTTCCTCTCTCCTCCCCCCCCCCCCCCCGGTATTTGTGTGCAGTGCTGCTCATGTAATGCTTGTCCAGATCTCATGGATGTGCATGTACTGCTAAAACCCATAGATTTCTTCCTGCCTTATCCCTTTGCCTGAATCAGTGATGTGACAGGCAGATGAAGTCAGCACTCTTCCCTCGGCCCGTCCTCTCAAGCCCCTCAGAGGGCTGTGGGTTCAAAGGCAGCTGGCCCGCAGCCGCCGACTCGCCTTCTCCCACAGGTGCTGAGAGTAAAGCGCCCGCCTGCCAGCCCAGCTCTAGTTTTGCCCTTGGTGCTGGATGGGCGGGGGGGGGTCGTCCTTGGCATCTGCACTGAGCGCTTGTCCATTCCAGGGGATGCGGAAACCAGAACTTTGCCTGGAGAACAGAATGCAACCAATGCAAGGCTCCTAAACCGGAAGGCTTCCTCCCCCCACCCTTCCCGCCTCCAGGTACGTTCCTGTTGTCAGTGAGCTGGGGTGGGGTTCGGAATATTTGACACTGATCTCTGCTTATGTGATGTTCACAAGGTCCTGGATTCTTGCTTGGAAAACCGCTGCCACTTAGAGGGCTCATATACGGGACAAATAGTGGTAAGGGAATTGTACAGGTGGTATATTTTTCCTTCGTTTGTGTTTACACTTACTCAGGAGAGTCATGGGGACTGGCTGCCACATGATGCACACAATACGATGGCTCCCTGTGGGTGGTTGAAAATGCTGGCCAGGGATCCATGAGTTGCCGATGATGTTGGGGGAGCGTCCCATAGGATGCAGCTATTACGGTGGCCAACTTCAGGGGTTTTCGGGAGACTTTGGGCAAGGATGCGCCCAGGATGATTTTGTGTGGGGTGGGGTGGCAGCTGGAGGGGGAGGGGGGAGTATGCCCACTATGGAAGACTCCAGAGGCTCATGGACATGTCTCCCTCATCCCGAGGGGCCTGCACCAGTTGGTAGCCTGTGATTCGCATTTAGCCTGCCCAGAAATTGGATTTGCTCCACGTGGGTCCAAACTGGTCGTAAGAATGGTGAGAGCTAAATGCAACACTGCTAGCCTTTTCATCAAATTACTGTGCTTTCCTACCTGTGGTCCCAGCCATGTCCCTTTTCAGTATATCCTTGAAGTAATCACAGCACACTGTATTCACAACAGAGAGCTGTAGTGTGCAAGATGCATGTGACGATCCGTGAGTTGTGTTGGAGAGTCTTTTTTGTAGGCAGACACGCCTTCCCCCTTGCCCATCGCCCCTTCTCTCTTGCCCTGATCTAGTTAGTTTCTTGGGAAGACAGCAAGGCTGTGTGTCACACTCACTGTCTGGTTTGTTCAGGTTGCTTCTATGCTTGTCCTCAAAGGGGTTCTTGTCAAGGTAAGCAGAAGAAGACCTTTTGAAAACACAGCAGGCTCTGAACTCCAGTAGTGGGTTGCAAAGTGTAGACCCATTGAACCAGTGGAACTTGTATAGGTGTGTTAACTCACCTCTCCCCTACTGATTCGGTGGACCGACTCTAGTTGCATCTTAGTGCTGGAACCTAGGAATTAAGATGTCAGCATAGCTGTAAGGAAGTTTTTCATTTATGATTCACTGGATGGGCAAACAAGATCAGGTTTCAAGGCGGCAGGACGGAGCAGCGGGGGAGGCGAGATCTGGCTACGGGTTGATTATTTCAAGGTCTGCTCTGCTCTAAATAACAGGCATTGGTCGATAATTACCTGGCAGCAAATGATACAGTCTGCTAGATTCCCTTCTGTGGGCACTTTTATGTTTTCACTGTGGTCTCGGTGGACACTTTGATCTTTTGTGCTCCAGTATTGGGGACATGTCGATCTTGCCTGTATTCCATGGAAACACAGAGGTAGCTTTTGAAATGTCACCTGCCATGCAGCTGCCCCTGCACCAGATAACCCCCCTTCTGTTCTGCCCCGTGCGTTGCCGAAGGTGAATGGTTGTTTTTCTGCATTCCCTTTGGGCACAGCTCAGCAAATTGATTCCCCTTGATCTGTAATTATGGCCTGCTTTCTCAGGTCTCTCCCCCTGGCTTTAAGCCTGTCCGTCCTTAAAAGCTGACTGTGCACCTTTTTAGTTTTCATATTTGGGCTTGATTACTAGGCTGAGTGACAACTGCCTGTCAAGCCGTTTTGGTGTGTTAGATCTGGGATGTGAAAGCTCTTTGATCAGCTAATTCCTGCAAGTTGTAGTCAGCTAGTTAGTGTAACAAGTCATTTTAAGGTCCGACTTCAGGGCACATTGAAAATTTCCCTGTTCCTCATGAATAAGACACTGTATGCGTCTATCCTAGCGGAGGAAAGGATGGCTTCAAGGAAGCCATTTTTCCTTCAGTTCCTTTCAGTAGAAACAGCTGATTCTGTGGAACACTCTGTGTTGAAATGTGAAGATTTTATCTGTTCGATCTCCCTTGCGGAGATTTATGCAGAAGGCAGAAGTTCAGAGGGTGGGTGGTGGGTGGGTGTTACTGTGCTTGCAGCTATATCCTTGGCTGCAGTTTCTGTCTTGTGATGAAGGAGTAGATGCCATCTTTCTGACCTTGGGTTGGAGTTTCCTAAGTTGGTAAGATACCAGCACTCATATGGACACCCCAGATTATTGTTGTTGTCGTCGTTGGCGGCTCCAGTCTGGCTAGAACGGTTGGCAGCCTGTTGCTGGTCCTTCAGAGACGGGCTCCCTGC